TGCTACCGATTGGTGATAAAATTTTTTGGAAGTAATTAAATAGGGGGGATAACGCCTTTTTTTTCAGGGGTGATTTTTCAAAAATTTATTTTAAAAAAGTACTAACTAGCAAATGTTTTTTATTAGCTCGCAATTTTCTTCAAAACTACTTCAATGAGGAAAGAAATAAAAATTTGGAATATCTATACATGAGGGGCTAATTGATCGGATCTGTATATCTAGTAATCTTGGTGTGAACCCAGTGGGCGCCACTATAGCTGAAGCCACAAGGCGAACAGCGTCTTCTCTCTGGACATTTTGTTTCGTAGGCAGACGCTTTTTGTGCATCAGTGCGATTAGTTGCAGAAACATCGAGTGTATTTTTCGGTGTGGTGAACTTTTTTTAATTATTTTTACGCAATCAATTAATATAAATATTAGCGAAAAAATGGCGATGACAACAACTCAAGTAAAAGGCAGTGGCTGGCCAAGGCGAGCAAGTAATAGCTCCTTCGAAGGGAAACCAGTAGTCAATCCATCCGTCACCATCAATAGAACAGTGAATTTGTAAGTGATTCAACTCTTGTTTGTTTTGGAAGGAGAAAAATGAATAAAGCTTCACTCATTTATTTTTTTATCTCATTTAGTACTTAGGACGTAGTTGATTGTAAACTCAGTCTTACTGGACTCGGTTTTTTCTTATTATTACACACCATTTGTTTCACTTTAAAAATGATGAGAATGGTGATTTCTCGTTATAAATTTGCATGCTCCATACTGTGAAATTTGGACTTGGCGATACAATAAATATGTGTCTGAAATGTGACCGTTAATATTTTCAAAACCACTGTTTTTCATTTGGATTTTGCAATGTATTGAAGAGACATGTTGTTAGCCTAAGTGTAGCCCGCTACACGGAGACAAAAACGACAGAGTTCTCAAACAAGTCTTAGTTGTACCAAGAAAATAGTTTTTTAAAAATGATCAAAAAAGGATTTTTTTGTGCCAAACATGAAGAAAGTTCGCCGAAATGCACAATTTTTGTCGCAAAAATGGATTTAAGAGTTACAAAAAAAATTGCATTCTTTGTACACGTAAGAAATGCCATTTTCAGCACCACTCTTTTATTATTTGATACTCCCATATGTATTTTGCTCCTGAAAAATGTTTATTTTATACGAAACAAGGGGTAGCAGTTTTTCAATTCGGATATATAATAATCACCCACAAGAAATTAATCCTTAAATGAAACAATAATAATTATATGATAGCAATCTTGTAACTTAGGGATATAAAATATTTCTTGACAAATTTTCCTCCATATGAGACATTTTCATCTTGAAAAGGTACCGCTTCGTGTGAGGTATCTGCCTCTTGAGCCAAATATTTCGTTGTTGTCGAAAGCACAACAATGATTCATGTTTGGGAGTTTCAAATTAGAACCAAACAAATTTTTTTTTTGCAATTTTCAACTAGCGATTTTGTTGGTCCAAGCAAGACTTGTTTGAGAACGTGTTTGTTTTTCTCTTACTGCAGATCGGATTTAGAAGTAGAAACCTCGAGGCCCCAACTTCGAAGTAAGTTCTTCTATTGAAAATAACATAAAGCATTCACTTTATCCTTTCTATAATTATTTGATGTATCCACAATATATTTCTAACGATAATGAAATTGATTCCGATGGTGTGAAATCTTGCAAGATCGAAAAACTGTGGCACCAGGAATCTGCTATTTTGTACTTCATAGTAATTCATTTTTTCAATCACTATTCAGCATATGGAAATCGTTTTTATTTAAGATTGAGGTATTACAGCCGCAAAAGGTAAATGATGACATTAATCTGGGATTTCAATAGAATTTTCATAATGGTATATGAATTAGGTATGAATTTTTATAGATTTTTCTTTCAAGTGATTAACGATGAAAGTTTACTTCTTAAACATGGGCTCTTATGAAGATTTTTCCATTTTGCGTGAAAGAGCCCTATCATCTACGCTGATAATATACTTTTATGTATGAGAAATTACTTTCATTTGATAAAGAAATCTAGGACAAATTTACACGCACCCCCATAACTTCAACGGACGTCTTATCAAAATGTCGAATCAATATCATCATATTTTTTCTTAGATGAAACCCCTTGAAGGCAGTGAAAATCATCATAAATGGATCTAGAAGAATTCTTTCGAAAAGCTCAATGTTTTCGGAACAGCCTAATCTTAATTTTTTCTCTAATCTTCGACGGGGGTATGATCAAGAACCTCCAAACGTCGATTCTCATTCCATCTTTATCTCTTTTTCCAAGCTCTGAAAACTTCTTTTGAGAATATTTCATTCTGTGTCTTGCTGTGGAGCTGTACTTGCTCTAATTGACTACAATATTAGAATCATTGAGCTGTTGTGTAGTCTACGTTAGGAAATGCGTTCAGCTCAAGTCGTGGTGGCTTACACATTATGAGGTCGACCCCTTTGTAGGACATACATTTCAGAATATACGTTGCAATAGGAAACCTCTCAATCTTTTTGAAGGAGAAAAAATTAAACAACTGCCTCTCTAATTAATCAACAGTATTTGTAATTGCTGTTGAGGACGCGGTACAATTCATTATTATATACTGTAAGAATGTGAATTAAATGATGGAATGACTGATTAATTATTGAACATTTTTACATTGCAGATATCCACTGACGAATTATACCTTCGGAACAAAGGAACCCTTGTTTGAGAAAGATCCATCTGTTCCAGCAAGATTTCAACGTATGAGAGATGAATTCGATAAGATTGGCATGCGTCGCAGTGTGGAAGGTGTACTTCTCGTTCACGAGCATGGATTACCCCACGTTCTTTTGCTTCAATTAGGCACCACATTTTTCAAATTGTAAGTACTACCTCTATTCCCATTATGTGCTATCGTATTTCGTAAATATGTCAATACACCAAGAAAAATATAGGTGGTATTTTACGATACAAGAGAAAAAATCCATGTGCAGTAATAGTTCATTTATTTGTAGAAAATTCGTCCTCAATAGTAGAATTTTTTTCTTAAAACTAGATTTTCTTAAAACTAAAATTGCTAAGGAATCCATGGATAGTTGCCTAGTAATTTTTTTATCGGACTTTTTATTCAATGAAGGCTCCGGCCCTAGTTACTACCGATAATGGGAGATTTGTATCGAAAAAGTTCCATTCCAGTGTATCCAGCAAGTCTTGGAAACAATTATTAGTATAGTTAAAAATTAACAATACTATCTGATTTGCGTACAAAAGTTGACTTCCCCGACTTGATATCGCATGAGCTCAGTACAAAATTGTACACTGAAAAGACGAAGAGTTTTTTAAGAAGTACGTCTTTACTTGTGTCAAGAAATTCATGGCTCGAAAATTACCAAGCGCATAATATCTCACACTAAGAAAAATAAATATTACGCCAAGAAATTTTATACTTGTCCGAACGATGAGGACAATTGGTTCATATCAAGAAAACGAGTCCTCAAATCAGTTCAAGTGTTTTTGCATTAAATGAATTAATTTAATTTTTCTTGGTTTGAGAAATCCTTTTCGTGTCATCAAGAAATTGTCCCCGTCTTTTTAGGACAACTACAAAAATTCTTGACGAACGTTTTTTTCTTCTTAGTGCAAGATATTTTGCTCTTGGAAATTTTTAAGCCACGAGTTTCTTGATTTAAGTGAAGACGTACTTCCCAAAAAAATTTGTTTTTCTCAGTGTACGGCATAATTTATTGCAATTACATTCTTGAATTAGTCTGTCCAATTTGTTTGTGCCTCTGATGAAAAATGTCCGTATTTGAGAACGTTTCTTGCCCTTAAAAAAAATACTTTTTTGTCTTGCCCTCTTGTGAGGGCTACTGAAAAATATATGGAATGAAAAATCACCTTTGCCATGTCATTTTACAGACCTGGAGGTGAGTTGAACGCTGGCGAGGATGAGGTGGAGGGCTTAAAACGACTTTTGACTGAAGCTTTGGGACGTCAAGACGGGGTTAAACAAGAATGGGTTATTGAAGACACGATCGGTAACTGGTGGAGACCGAACTTTGAGCCACCCCAATATCCGTATGTGCCACCCCATATCACAAAACCAAAAGAGCACAAAAGATTATTCCTAGTGCAACTACAGGAGAAAGGTAATTATTGTTTTCAAATAACATGAGACACTCTTAGATATCTGATAATTGCCTCGCCTCTTCTATAAACGAATATGAAGTAATAGTGGAAACATGTTAATAATTGTTCTTTATTATAGCATTTTTTGCTGTTCCTAAGAACTACAAGCTAGTCGCTGCTCCACTTTTTGAATTATATGACTATTCTCAAGGATACGGACCAATAATATCGTCATTGCCTCAGTCCCTCTGCCGGTAAGAAATAATAGATATGAATTATATTTGAAATATTCATCAAATGTAGGTATGAAGTCCTTTTAATTAATCATATTTTCGAATTTATGTTTCAGATTCAATTTTATATACATGTGAGTTCTCTTATAAAAATTCCATCAAAGTGACGTTAAAATCAATTGTGTTTAATGTAAGTGGATCATCAGAAGGAAAAAACTACACAGTGTGAAAAGATGTACAATATGTGGATGTATGAACGTGCGTGATTGACAATGTTTTCACTACATTGTAACACTCTTCATATGGAGTATATAATCATTTATATAGAATAAAAAAAGTATAATAAAACCTTATTTTAACAGCGTAGTGGTTTTGCGCCTTTGATGACAGCTCCCACATCATAATATTTTAATTGTAGTAAAAAATTTGACGTTTTGAAGACGAAATTAAAAAGTTAATGAGAAACCATATTGTCATAAAAATTGGAACCTTCCGCATTTTATTATGGTAGTGAAACAATGGAAAGACCGTTTTATGATTGATTTAGTTAAATTATTTTCAGTATTGCCGTGCAAATTTAGGTAGTTTAAATTTAAAAAATCGTCACTGAAATTTCTATGTATTCTACAAAATATACTTCGTTATTATAGAAAGGATTTCCAAAAGCATGCCACGCATAGAGACACGTGACGCCTCAATTTTCAATGAGTTCTAGGATTGCTTGGAGAATAAGATCAGTTAAATTTTAACATTATTGTCCAGCTTCCCACACACTGAATTCAGCATAGTAATGTAAAAGAACTTTATCCGAGAACAGCCGCGTTTGTAACTCTTTGGAAAAAGATCTTGAGACTTCTATTTCCTTGGAATTTGGATATATTTGATATTTTAATAAGAGTTGAAAGAGAACTAGTAAGAGACAGAACGACCTAAAATGACAATACTAATTGCTTGCGCAAAACATGCCATCTTTTGAGACATTCACTTCCTGAGCGCAACGCTGGTAAAAATTTCGCAATATAAATGTATCAATTAAATTAAATTTTACATTAGTTAACTCGTTAATATTACTCCATAATTTTTAAATTATTAAATCAATCATTAATTAAATATTCAAATTTCGAATTAATTTATCAATCGAAAATTGAGTTTGGAAGATTGACGATTATATAGTTAATCGAAACATTCTTTTGTGACATTTAAAATTATTTACTCAATAGTCAATTAACAATTCCATATTGTCAGTTACTTAATTCATAGTTGATCGAAAATTTTAATTATCAATTATTTTATGATTTTTCAAATTTCAATAGAGATAAGTAAACCTTAATTATTGTAATGTGCAACTTATCATAATATTGTTAGGTCCAGCGGAGAAAAAAGGGACACACAGGTTAATAAATAATTGGGGTGGTTTATTATTACAATCCGGGCAATACGATGACAGTTACAACGAAGGACATCCAAGAGAAGAATCGAAGGAACTTCTAGAAGACAGTCGTTCTTTAGAGCCTCCTTCAGATCATAGATAACTGAATTAGGATTCGAAGGGGGACACGTAACAATATCACAAAAATAGTGATTGGTACCGATCCCTGCCCGGCGTTGCAGAGACGATTGTTAAAGTTTATAATATAAGTTCTAGATGAAAAAAAGAAGTATGGAAAACCCAAACTCCAAGTTTTTTTACCCTTGCAAATAGTAATAAACAAACAGTTGACTGTTCCTATATTGCAGAAGGCATATGACTGTTGCTTTATGTGTTATTTGTATTTTAATTTTTTATTTCTACCAATTCCATTGGTAGTAAGCTTCCGATTGGATTCATAGCAGTTACCTTTTCCGTAAAATCGCTTATACGGAGTTGATTAATTGAAATGAATCTCCAAAATTTTGTATAAACGGGTACATATATTTTGATTGACCTTGACAGAAGACATCGAGACGAGTGTTTCGAAAAAAACAAGTGGATATCTCGATTTTTGCACAAGTTAGCGCGCGTACAAGGATTTTAATGAAAAAACAGAAAAAGGGGAATATCTCAAAAACTTTGTATGAACGGGTATATGTTTTGATTGATTCAGATAGAGGACATCATACCGAATATTTTGAAAAAAAAATATTGAAATCGGTTGGATATTTTCCGAGATATTTGCGAGAACAGGTTAAAAAACGAATGGATATTGCTAACGATGAAAGAAAAATATTGTTAAAGAAATTCACTGGAGCGTATTGTTCTTGACTACTTCCGAACCTCGATTAAGGAAAATTAATTTTTGCACGTAAATAGAAGTACTAAAACTTACTATAATTGCTGTCACTATTATCAGGTAACAGATTCATAATAGATAAAAATTCAAGAAAAATATATGAATAGAGGAAATTGAAAACGTGACGGATAGCCTCCACTCTGCTCCACTCTGGAAAATTTTGCTTTCGTTTATTAGTGAGTGTTTAAATTTTCAGCAGTGTGGCCCTCATTGATCACAGGTACCGCAAGCATCAATAAAGTTATATAAAGTTAATAGAAGTTAATAGAGTAAATAAAGTTAATAGAAAATCTGCCTCAATAGAACGAGTGAGGCAAAGAGGGATCAGAGTAGGGAGCCAAAATGGAAGGTGAGGTCATTCTATCCTACGCAACGGGACACCTGCCATGCGGGTCAAACTGATCGGGTCCGCTACAAATGGCCGTAACCTTGTCAATTTCGCCGATTTTCACGCGAAATGTTCGAGAAATATTGTTGAAGGCTGATACAAAGAAAGAAATTTTTTTGGCTCATCTGGGTACATACAATGTTTGGAGATATTTCAATTTTTCGGTTTTTCACTTGAAATCCTCGTACGCGCTCTATTTTTTTTTTTCAAATGAATATATCCACTTGAGATTCGGCATGAAGTTACTTCTTACCACAACGATGTTTCGTATTGAAGCTGAGCAAAATCGGATGATTAGTTTAGGAGATATTCAACTTTGAATCAAAATCTATTTTCTTGAATATTTCAAAAACTGCTCCTCCGATTTCATTTCTTTTTTTTTTCAAAATATTCGTCTCTATGTCTTCTATTTGAAAAAATAAAAACATATACCTTTCATAGAAAGTATCCAAGATATTTCAATTTTCGTTATTTCTCTCAAAATTCTTGTACGCCTTCTAATTTTTTTTTTAAATAAACATATCAGATTGAAATTTGGCATGAAGTTACATCTTACCACTGCGATGTTTTGTATTGAAGACGGGCAGAATAGGATGATTAGTGATAGGGTGATGAGTTAGTTTAAGAGATATTTAACTTTGTATCCAAATCGATTTTCCTGAATATTTCCAATACCATGCGTCCGATTTTATTTTTATTTTTTTCTAAATATTCGCTTCAATGTCTTCAATCTTAAGAAATGTATATACCCTTCATGGGAAGTATAGCCATTTTTCAATTTTCTTTTTCTCTCTCAGAATTCTTGTCTGCGCTCCGTTTAAACAAGCAGGGGTTCAGGCCTTTGGATGGGGGGGCGCCTTTTGCGTTGGTAGTTTCTTTTTCTTGTGTTTTTTGTTGCTTCCGAATGGATTGTTTAGATTGGTTTAGAAGATATTCCACTTTGTATCTAAAACGATTTTCTTGAATATCTCAAAAACTACTTGTTTGTGATTTCCATAAGATCACGGGTTAAATGACCACTTTTTCAAAAATTTATAATAAATTGACCATGCTTCCCAGCAGTTTGAAACGTTTCACACGCCTTTTCCATCATTTAAAGAATACGTAAAAAAAAAGAAAAAAATTGCTGCTTTTTTTCTAACCCTCCGGGCTTGCCCGATTATCCTTAAAGATTTCTCTTAGGGACAAAAACTCTCTAATTTTTTGAACTCACGATGCAAAAAAGGAGACAAGAGCCTCAAGAGCGGTAAAGTCAGATCATACAAAAAGATTGTATCGCACACACGTATTCTGAGTTCGAACATCCACAGTCTTACAATGCCGCGGATGCATACAAGAAATAAAAAGTAAATGAAAAGAATGAAGAAAGAGGTAAAAAAGAGGAGAATAAGCTTCGCGTACTTGAGCGCACGCGCAGACCGTCCTGAGAGTGTGTACATGCCATTAACGACTCGTCGCCCGTAATTTATGGGCCATTAATTAGGGGCCGGATAAAAGTGAATGCTATAAAATTATAAAACAGACCCGGAGTATTCGAGTCGACGCATCTGGACTCCAGGCATCACAAACTTTGAGCTTGTGGAGTGTAGTGGAGTAAAGTTCTTGCTATTTAAGTTCGTTAAGCTCAGTTATCGTAAGGAAAGGACAGAGAATTACCTTCAACTGAGAATTTCGTGTACGGAATGCGCATGCCCATTGCAGACTCATGATTATATGATTTCTAGGCAATTTAATTAAAAATAATCATTGTTTAATACACAGTTACAAAGATAAACTATCCAATCCATCGCCATCACACTGAGAGAAAAATCTGAAGTTCGTTTTACAATAAGAAAATAGTTGAGGCATTTTGGTGAACGATACGATTTTTTTTGTATGCGGAACATAACATTATAGTAACATCACAAGCGTAATTTTTTCAAATCAAAATGCAGTTAAACTAACCAAAGTTCAAAAGTAACAATGACAAATCTATCGTGAGGAGAACTATAAAATAGTTGCAATGACTACATTCCATTGTAGTAATTACTTCTCCGGCGATAGTTACCGTAACCCATGAAAAATTGTTGAGGACTTTTTGACTGTAATTCGATGGTGATGAAATATAGTCAGAAGAATTATATTTTTCTCTCAGTGCAGAATGGCAATTTCAAATTCTGGTTTTACTATAATTTTTTACAAGGGTAAGATGTATTTTATAATCATTCTATAACTAAAATAAAAAACAAATTTCAATTTGACATTTACGAACTCAAATTGAGATTTTCGAAAATCTTAAATTGAATTCTGAAACTCTCAACTTGAGATTTTCGAAAGTCTCAAGTTGAAACTTGCAGATTGCTAAAATTGAGATTTTCAAGTCTCCCATTGAGACTTCCGAAAGCTCAATTTAAGATCTGAATTGAAATCTCGAATTAAACTTTTTTTCTGAGTGTATTATTGGATATTTTTAAATTTTTAAATCCGATTCATAAGAATTTCGAGCCCCAGATGCGATGAGATTAGATGGAAGCGGTTCAGCATTGAGTCGTCTAAATCATACGATCTTTTGTAACATCTGTTTAAGATAGCTGACAGTCTTTCTGATCAGTTAATTTAAGTTTTTGCAGGTGTACATTAAGTGTTCTTTGGCCTGTCAACCATGAAGAAATTTTCGAGCTGATGAAAAAAGTGTTCTTTGACTCGTGGAAAGTATCTAGCACTTGTTT